GTTCATTCTATTTTTTTCCCCAAAAATATTAAACCAAAACACCTATTTTTTATTTTTTATATTATATTAAAAATCAATTTTATATTCAAAAAATCACATCAACATCTATTTATATCACATCAAACAACTATTCAAATTCAAAATTTTTACTATTTAAATCTCAACTCAAAATCCAAACCCCCAATCAAACACCGGAGCATTATTGTGGCAGCATTATTGTGGCAATATGAGGGAATAAATCTACAACTGTAAGTATTGCATGCACACAATAATTACCGTTGACAGGACTAGTCGGCTGTGTTCGTTTGTAGAATTTTGGCAAAATTTTACTATTTATCCAAAAAATTTTCTCCAAAAATATCAAATCAAACACCTATTTTTTATTTTTTATATTATACTGAAAATTAATTTTACATTCAAAGCATCACATCAATACCTATTTATATCACTTATACAACTATTCAAATTCAAAATTTTTACTATTTAAATCCCAATCTAAAATCCAAACCCTCAAACAAACACAGCCGCCATACATACATTAACCCAGCATGTCCTAATTTAATAATCCCAATAAATTATCGACTTTGTTTAGATAGAGATTTTTGGAGTGATTTGAAAATTTAAAAATTTGAAAAAAAAATAATAAAAATTGGTATTTGATTTAATATATTGTAAAAAAAGATGATTTATTTGATATAATATTTTTTTCAAAAATAAATAGTATCAAATGATTAAAAATAATTTGTGTAAAAATGAATAGTACCAAATAACTAAGAAATAATACTAATTAATTTATTAATAAAAATATATTTCTTCCGTCTCACCTAATTTGTCCACTTTAGTTGGAGCACTGAATTTCAAGTATTATGTAATTAGTAAGTAAGTAAGAAGTGTACAAGTCAAAATAATTATGATATAGTAAAAATAATAATAAATTACTATTAAAATGACTTAAATAGTTTAATTAAAATAAAAAAATTAAATTTTAAATTGCAATTAAAGTGTTCAATTATATTTTCAAAAAATAAATGAGAAATAATGTGGAACAAATTGAAATAAAAATAATGGACAAATAATATGGAACAGATAGAATATAGAATAATTTTAATATTTTTGCTATTAGAACTACAAATGAAACAAATATTTTTTTTTGTAAAAGTTAATTAATATTTTTGGTATTAGATATAATTAATTTTACTTATAATTAAAAATTGATATTTTTAAGTGGCACGAACATAAATAATAAAAAAATAATAATTATATCAATAAATAAGCTTACTTATTTATTTATACAGATTTATTTATACAGATTTTAATATGATGTTCTTTTAATTTATATAGTAAAGATGGTAAAAAAAGTAAAAGAAATTAAAAGAAAATAATAATAATATTCCCTCCGTTAATTTTTTAATATCCTATTTGATATTTACACGTATTTTTAAGTAATTAAAGTTTTTGTTATAAAATGATAAATTTATTCTTAATATTGTGTATAGAAAATGAAAGAGTAAATAAAGCAAGAGTAAAAGAGTAAATTTTGTATATAAAAATAAAAATATGACAATAATTATTGGGCATTCTAAATAGAAAAGTAGAGCATTAATTTATGGACGAAGGAAGTATGATTTTATTTTTTATTTTTTGCTAAATAAACATGCCTATTTTTCCAACAGATAAAAAATAAAATAATAATAATTATTATTTTTAAAGGGGAGTTCTAATAATACTAATAAATAAAAGTGACTCTTTTTAATTTTTAAAGGTTAGATATGTGTTTTATCATGTGACTTTGTTATTTCTTTATATAATATATATATATATATATCAACACTTTTTTTTGGTATAAAAAATATTATATAATGGGTGGGGGTCATGCTCACGACATGAGGCGGGTTTGATCACAAATCTAACCCCTACGTTACGAGGTCATTTTTTACAGGACAATTGGATGATTATTCTTTGAGATATAATATATAGCTATTGGACTTTTAAATTTATTATTTTTTTTTATTCTTTAGAATTTTAAAAAGAATTCTTATCTTATTGCCTTGTACCTATTTACTAAACTGGATAATTAGGGTGTTTCTTTTGCGTTTTAGTTTGAAGAAAAAAAAATTGATGCGAGGTATATAAAAAATTATATATATAATGTGTAAATTATTTAACAATGTTGTTATGGTTCAATAATCTATTTTTGGGAAAATTGAAATATTTGTTCCTCGTGTGAGATAAATTATAATTTTTTGACATTTTTTAAGACAATATCTCGATGATATGTTTTAATTTTGTCTTTCAACCCTCAAAAAAGTAACACCGATTTATGTGACATTTTCACCATTGAGGCGGACACGATTAGATCTAAAGTGGACGCTAAGTGACATTTTTTTTTTTTACAGCGATATCACTCAGCATCCAGCTACTTCAGTGCCGACAATGTCATATAGGATCATTCAATTGTATGCAATTCTTTTTTTCTTTTTTTGCGTTAAAAGACAAAATTAAAGTCTGTCGTCGAAATATTGTCTAAAAATATGAAATGAAAAAATATCTAAATATAATAATTTTTCTCACATAGGGAGTAAAATATACAATTTTTCCCATATATATATATTTAATGATTATTTAATATACAAGTATTCAATGAATCATATATATGATTTAATGAACTTATATTATATGGTTCAATACATTTACATATAGAAGTTCAATAATTTAGCATCATGATGGAGATGTTTTTTTTATTGTATTCCTCTATGTGTGTCAAGAAAAATTGGGCACAAATTTTGATAAATATAATTATATTAAACAATATTAATTGTGACAAAGAAGTGAAAAAATGGGTAAATTGAATGTGTAGATTGTGGAATTATGGTAGTAGCAAATTATGAAAAATGTAAAGTTCAAGACATACATTAAGGAGTATATAAGATATTTTTTTTTTTTTAAACTTTTTTCCCCTTTGAAAATTGTACTGCCTCCGTTCAATTTTATTTTTCTCACTTATTCTGTCACTTTTCTTTTTTGAAAAAATATTATACATTTTAATCTTATTTTAAAACTTTTAGTTTATTTTTTGTATTTTAATTATACTACTTGATTATTTTAATCTTAATTTATAATTATTTTTATTAAATAATAGTTATTTTTATTAATATATTCTTAATTATTTACTAATTATACTTCTTCCAATATAATAAATAACCCTTCCAACTTAAGTTATATTACAGTATATTTTAAAAAAATTTACGTGAAAAAAAATAAACGACAATATTTCTACAGGAAGTAGGGAGTATTTTATTAAGAAATATAGTTTTTAAAATTTTAAATACATATTTCAAAATTTTTTATAATCATATATATTATTTTTTATTTTAAACTACCAACAAATTATTTATATAAAAAATAATAAAATAATATCGTAATTAAAAGCAACAATAATAATGTTTTAAAAGTATACATTACTTTTGGTGACGGTTGAAAAAATAATATTCCCTTCGTCTACATATAAAATAAATAATTACTTTTGGCGCGATATTTAAAAAATAATAATATTTTAATTATAGTGGGTAGTTAAAAATAGTGTAATGATATTTTTGCCCATTTTTTATATAAAACTAATGATATGATGTAAAATATGGATATTTGTCAAAAAAAAATAAAATTAAAATGAGGTATTTAATGAAATGCTTACTTTGTAATTGGACGTTCAAAAATAGAAATCGTTAAAAATAATGTAAAAATAATTTTTCTATTATTTTTAATATAAAAATATTAATATGATGGTAAAATAAGTGTATTTGTAAAAAAAAAAAAGAAAAAAAGAGTATAGTCCAGACGGCAAAAGGATTAGACGTCTGCCCATGCTACCACGCAGGAAAAACTACGGATTTGTTTGTTTAACCTCAAACTCCAAGTTTTTACTATATTGATTCTATATTTTTCGAAAAAATTTTTTCTAATAAAACATCATATCAAATCATTTCATCTAAAATCGTTGGGTGAACGAACTATATTTTATGAAAAAATAATATTCTCTTTGTCCTACATAAATTATTCAATTTGTTTTTTATTTCGGTTCGTTTCACATCATTTGTAATAAATAATTTTTCATAAATATGATTATACACTTTATTTACATATTAAAATTCATAATTCATAAATTTTAATTAAACTATTAGATTATTTTTTAATATTAATTTATAATTATTTTTATCAATAAACTTTTTAATTAGTCAACAATTATATTTTATCTTAATTATTGTATGTACAATAATATGGGCAATATATTCGAAATAAAAAATATATATATATTTTTATTAAAACTATAAATTATTTTAATCTCAATTTGAAATCATAACCAAAGATGCATCTATATCTTAAATAAACTTAAGAAATAGTAGTAGTATTTAAGTTTTCATCTCTCTTTTTTTGGGGGGCTGTCTGATCATATTTTTAGTTTTGAATTGTTATCAAAATGATATTCTTAAATTTTTTTAAAGAGTACTTAGGGAGTCTCTTATAATTTTTCTACTATTTTTCATTTTTATTCATTCTATATAATTTATTTATTTTTTCGAAAATATAGTTATATACTTTCATTAGCATTTCAAATTCATAATTTATTTGTGTATTTTTTATTTTATGTAAATTATCTAATCATTTAAAATAAATTTATAATTATTTTTTACTAATACATTTATTAATTAATTATTAATTACAAAATATCTAAAAATTTTTAGATAGACAAATTAATTGGAACAAGGGAGTATATTTTTTTTCATATTTTTTTATTATAAATACAAAAAAGTAATAATAAATTATTTTTAAAATAAATTCATGTTCAATCATTTAAATATAGAATGGGATGAAAGAAAGAATATTTTCTGTTTAAACATAAGAGTATTATATTTAATTATTTGTTAAATAAATGAATAAAAAATACCCCAATATATACAAGTTTATATATATACATAGAGAAAGATATCTCTACACATTTGTTTATTCTCATAGCAATAAAAAAAAAAAAATTGAAAAAAAAAAGAAGAGAACGTCTTGTCACCACACCACCGCTGCCGATCCCGGCCAATCTCCGCCGTCCATTTTTCCATCTCCGCCGCTGTCTCCGGCGACTCTCACCATGTGAATATTCTTCACCTTCAATGGCGCGCTTTATTTCCACATAAAATTCTCCCTTCCTTCATATGGCTTCTTCCCCACACCTCCAAACCCCCAAATTAATCCCCTAGGGTTTCGTCGTCTCCAATTTATTTCTACAGTTCTCTAAGCTCTTCAGCTATGGAGGATTACAACCACCACCAGATCACCGAGAACGCCAATAACAGGCCCGGCGGCGGGTTCCTCTACGGCGGACCAGTTTTCGCGCCGTACGGTAGAACCGCCGCCGGATCGGGAAATAATCACCCCGCCGGACAGTTACCGCCGATGAGCAGCTACTGCTACGATCAGTCGCCGGCCGGCGGCGCCGAGCACCATCCGGCGGCGATTGTGAAAACTGAAGCTGGAAGTACTTCGCAGAATAACCCCCCCAGGTTCCACCACTACCCTTCCGCCGCCGCCGCGGCGATCCGCGGCCACACGGCGGTGCAGGATCACCACCACCACCACCACCGGCGACAGGAGAGCGAAAACTCGGGCGAGGTCGACGCAATTAAGGCCAAAATCATCGCCCACCCGCAGTACTCGAATCTTCTAGAAGCCTACATGGATTGCCAAAAGGTCCTTTTTCTTCTCCATATTTCATTCTATGTACCGACAAAATCCCTAATTTCGATTCTCCTCCCCAATCAAGGTCGGCGCTCCGCCGGAGGTGGTGGCGCGTCTCACCGCCGTGCAGCAGGAGTTCGAAACAAGACAGCGCTCCGCCGCCGCCGGGAGAGACGATTCGAAGGATCCAGAGCTCGATCAATTCATGGTACACCAACAAACAAAAAATTTCAAAATTTCCCAATTCGATAAAATTCCGATAACCCAATCCGATAATCCGATCCGATCTGATCTAATTCGATTTCGTCGATGATGTAGGAAGCTTACTACGACATGCTCGTCAAGTACCGCGAGGAGCTAACAAGACCTCTGCAAGAAGCCATGGAATTCATGCGAAGAATCGAAACACAGCTCAGCATGCTCACAAACGCTCCGGTTCGGATCTTCAACTCCGGTACGGTTCTCTCCAGTTTCTTCTTTCTTAATTAAGAGAGCGAAAATCAAGCTAGAGTGAGAAAGCTAGATTTTCCTATGATGGAAAGAACAAGCAGCACAACAATAATTCCATTTCCCAGACCCTTTTGAGATCTCTCCACTGCTCTTTCCTGTTAACTGATAGTTCAAACTGTGCACTCCAAATTGGGGGGTGGGGTGGGGTGGGGTGGGGGGTGGGTGGGTGCAAGCAAGAATCGCCATAGGCGTCTTGTCTGCACAGAATTGGAGCTGCAGACTGAGTAATTTCTTTCTTCTTTCTCTTTGCTATTTCCCACTGAACTGAACTTTGACTGAATCCCATCGTTTTCCAATGAAACCCTTCTTCTGCCTCGTCACGACTCCCTAAATTAAATAAATAAATAAATAAATAAAATAATTAAAAACCCTAATCACGAGTGCATAGTAAAAAATCGGTGGAGATGATGAGATGATTGATGAATAAATTAATAAAAATCCAATCTTTATCCCCCAAAGAAAATAAATTAATTACGGTTTAGTTAGATCCCACGTTTCTTCTGACTTCATAATATAATCATCATCATCATTCTTAATCCAGATTATGTTAATTCTCCTCTTTCTCTCTCCTCTCTCTCTCTCTAAAATAAGTTTGTACAGAGATGAATCTGGGATTTGGGGAGTGTCTTGTTCTGTCTGGCTTGCTTACCTGGACATGGACGAGACCATCCATTAATTTTATTATTTTGTCATTTCTTGGATTTGTTTGTGAAGAGAACAGTTTGCATCTTTAGCTTTTAGGCTTTGAAGAAAATATGATATGATAAAAACATAGGATGCTGCTGCTGCTGTTCATAGATATATATATGTATGTAGTCTGTACCCACACACTGTCAGGCTTAATTCCTCCATTTATTACATCTTTTTTCTGTGCTATACTTGTACAAGTTTTCCCCCCTTTTTCCCTTCCCATTTCTTCTTTCCATTTATTTCTATCTTCGGCCAATTCTTGTGTTTTTTGCATGGAAGCTAAACCTAGAACTAAGAAAAAAAAAAAATAAATAAAAACATGGATCTGTGCATTGTCTTTTTCTTGCCAATTTGTGTGTGTGTTTCTTCTGTATGCATTTTTTGGCAGTCTTTATGGGTGATTGATAATAAAATTCTTGATGATCTTTGAAATATTTGGCATTTCATGAATTAAGGCTTTAGAAATGTGATGTTGGTATTTATATGCGGCGCCTCGGTTGGCTTAATTTGTGGACTAATTCGACCAAATTTCATTTGTGTAGTTTAAAGAAAAGAAGCAAGAATTTCTACTTATATATTGTTACGCGTGATTTTGTTTTGTATTTTTTGTTTGGTTAAAGAGTGCGTTGATTGGATTATAGTATTTAATTTGTTAGATCGTTAGGTCACGAGGCGATCACTAGATTTATCGAGAAATCCTCAACGAAATGCTTTTTTGTTGTTTTCTCCCTAATGCCGATGTCTACATCGACAAAATTGTCGTATTTAATACATCCACATTGAATAAGTTCGGATTCGGTTTATTGCTAGATCATGGTGAACATCTTGTTTGATAATTAATGATATTAGTTTCGGTAACAAAACATCTTTATTACATCAAACACTCATGAACAAAAGACATGGTAGAATTTACGAAACATTTTATCAGCAAGCAATTAAATTTACACAATGTAGGTTTGTTCAACGACATATCTACTCGACTTATTTATTTCCCTTCATTGTTTACATGTCGAAGAGGAAAAGTGCGATGGCGGGGTTTCATCCGAAGAAGATCAAGACAACAGCGGCGGGGAGACAGGACTGCCCGAGATCGATCCCCGGGCAGAAGATCGTGAGCTTAAAAACCATCTCCTTAAGAAGTACAGTGGCTATCTGAGTAGCCTCAAGCAAGAGCTCTCGAAGAAGAAGAAGAAAGGGAAACTCCCGAAAGATGCGCGCCAAAAGCTTCTTAGCTGGTGGGAGTTACACTACAAATGGCCCTATCCATCGGTACGAACGCTTTTCTTTTTTTGAATATTTAACCTAAGTAAAAAGATCGAATAGCTAGGGTTATAATGGCACTATATAGGAGTCGAAGAAATGTGGCGGTACTATATGTGTTTTTTGAAGTTTGACCAAACAATGTTTTAAAAGATAGATCGTCGAAAACTCTTAAGGGTGTGTTTGTTTGGGGGATTCTCCCCCAAATACACTATTCATTCTATTTTTTTTAAAAAATATTATCAAATCAAACACCTATTTTTTATTTTTTATATTATACTAAAAATCAATTTTACATTCAAAACATCGCATCAACACTTATTTGTATCACATCATATAACTATTCAAATTCAAAATTTTTACTAGTCAAATCCCAATTTAAAATTTAAACCCCCAAACAAACACACACTATGTAGAAGAGCTAGGGTTATCATTGCACTGATCATAATCTGAAATTTATAATACGCTCATATAGAGGAATCGGAGAAAGTGTCATTTTTTTTTAGTTTAACTAAGTTAAATGATCGAACACTTAATATCGTTGAAAAGTGGGATAGAATAGTTAAAGTTTTGGTGACACGATCATGTTTGAAAGTTTGACTAAGTTATTTCATTGAGTGCTCAAAGATCATTGAAAATTTAGAATAGCTAGAGTTATGATGACACCGGTCGTGTTAAAGGATCGAGTACTCAAAGATCATCGAAAAGTCTAAATAGAATAGTAGCATTTGTCATATCTGAAATATATTGAATGCTTATATATATAGGTGCTTTGGTTATCATACTAGTCGGGTTAAATCAATATAGTGTTGATTTGATTCAATTAGCATACGTTTATAAAAATAGTAGACATTAATATAATATATAACATATATTTTGATAGCATATTATATAACTACATGTAGCACAATATATTTTAATTCCATATTTCAGTATAATAGCACAATAAATATATTATACAACATAACACAATATAAAACTAACACAACACATATTTCTATATAACACATGATATGTTATTTTCCGTCATGAAATACTAATTATTTTTCACGTTATTGTGCTAACTTGATCATATGCTATTTGTCATATATAGGAGTCGGAAAAGGTGTCATTTTATTTAGGGTTACGATGACATTGATCATATTTGAAATATATCGAACGTTTATATACAGGAGTCGGAAAAAGTGGCATTAGCCGAGGCGACGGGGTTGGATCAAAAGCAAATAAACAATTGGTTCATCAACCAAAGGAAGCGACACTGGAAGCCGTCGGAGGACATGCAATTCATGGTGATGGACGGGCTTCATCCGCAAAACGCGGCCCTTTACATGGACGGTCATTACATGGCTGACGGGCCTTACCGGCTAGGCCCGTGAAGGATTTGTCGAGGAGGCATGCTATGGCTACTACTACTTATTGCCGAAGCTCGGATCGTGTTTAAACAATGGATAGAGGGAGTATGACAGACAGCTAGCCATGGTGTGGGATTTAAGCGAGCCCGGATAAATGATTACTTGGTATTTGGACAGCTCGAGCGCCTGGTTGAAACATACGCTCAAGTTCATGTCTTAAGTTTATGTTGATGACATTGTATTTGGATCAGCTGTTGATTCGGCTCCATCGATTCGGCTACATCGAATAACAAATGTAGTACTTTATGGATTGTAATTCTCTATCGGTTTTAAGGATTAAATTGCATGAGTGTATTATATATTTCACTTGGTCTTATATTTATCCATTTATTTATTTTTTTTTCGGAATTTTAAAAATATTAGTATTATATTGAAATTTAATATAAATAAAGGTAAAAAGACTAAAATACTCTTATAGGTATTGTATAATATAAATGTAACGATATTTGTATAATATATTGTATATTGAAATGATATTTGTAATGTTAGGTAAACAATATAGTTATAAAAAAAAAATATGTATTTTGTTATGAGACGAATCAAAATAAATATATAAATAAATAAATTGTTAACGCCCGAGGGAGTATATTGATGGCAAGAAGTGTGAAATATCCTTTTAACATACATTTACCTTAAAAATTTTTGGCTACAAAAATTACATTAATACCCTTTATCCAATAATCTATTTTCTTTCTCACCCTTCTCCAAAAAGCTATATTAATATAATTATTTATTTTGTTATAAATATTTCATTCAACATTATTAATTTTATTAATTCTATTATATAACAATATTAATTTTTTTAAGTAGAATTTATTTTATTATTATAGTACAATAAAAATTAATGATAGAGACTTTTTTTTAATTATTTTTATTTTTTAAAAAACTTTTTTTATTATATGAAAAAATTAATCTTTGTTTTATTCGATAGATTTTTTTCGGTCATTAAATTTTTTATTGACTATTATTAAAATAATACAAAATAAAAGTAATTAATACATATGAACATTCACTCTTATTTATTTATTTTACTCATTAGTGACCGTATTATTAAAATAATAATCAATTAGCATAGTAAAAGAATAAAATACTTTACTGTTTGTGTAAAGAATACTACTAATATATCTTGGAGTGCAATTGTATTAATAACGATATAAGTTCTGTATTTTCTGAAATTAATTTATACTCCCTTCGTCCTATTTATCATGCATACTTTTTCTATTTTCATTCGTTCCACTTATTTTGTCATTTAAAAAAAAAAATTATACACTTTAATCTTATTTTAAATATTTTATTTTAAATTTTTATTTAATTTTAATTAAACTAATTAATTATTTAATTTTAATTTATAATTACTTATATTATACCATAATTATTTTTACTAATACATTTTTAATTATTTACTAATCATATCCCTCCTAAATTTTTGTGTCTACAGTAAAGAAGACATAATAGCGGAGTAGCGCAACAAACGAGCGACTAGTATATATATATATATATGGGAGACTTGATGTCCAATCCCTGTCAGCTATATTAAATTTCAATTCAGTCCCTATGATAAAAGAATTGGTCTGCACTCCATCTTTTATTTATTTCATTTAATATTGATCCCTATTCTATATTTTTTCTTCAATTTATTTGGTATAAATTTGATGTACCTTTAAATTATATTCAAATACTCCCGACGTTATTTTATATACTTACAAGACATCACGACTCTACCTATATTATGTTATGTTTTATTTAAATTGTTTCACTAATATACTTCTATTTACTTTATGGGTATATTTGCTTGAGTTAAAATAAATTAATAAAACAATTACAATTATAGGTATTTATAAATGCGATTATTTATATTTTAATTTTTTTGTATTAATATTTAAAAAATTATCTTATTTATCAATTAAAATCAAATTGCATAACATTTTAAAAATATTACTCCCTACGTCGGCTATAATTATGTCAAATTTCTTTCTTTAGTTGTTTGCTAAACATATATATAATAAACAATTTTATTTACTTACAATTTTATTAGTTTCATTTTAGCAAATAACAACCAATTTTCACTATTTTTTATAAACTCAATCGAATTGAACATAATCCAAATATATTACTATAATTGTTAATATGCATTTTAAAATATAATAATATAAATATATAAATACAAAAAATGTTAAAAACTGAAATTGAACTGAACTGAAAAATATCAAGTATGTAGTATTTGTTTCAAATTGAATTTGCTCATTAATTAAAAATTTGGTTCGATTCAGTTGGGTTCAGAAGTTTAATGGTTCCGTTAGGATATTTTGCCCACCCCTACTTATGACATCATCTTTTTTTTAAATCATTTTTTAATAAAATTTTTTATAATACTCTTATTTTACTTCTTATCCACCTCACTTTTGTATGAAAATATTAGTACTCCCTTCGTCCCAAAAGATTTATCTTGTTTTTCTATTTTCGTCCGTTCTAAAACAATTGTCATGTTTCCTTATTTAGTAGTCGTGGTCCTCACTTTATAACAAAATTATTCCTACTTTTTTATACTACCCCTAATTATTACTCTAACATACTCTTTAAAATCCTTCAAAAAGTAAGGGCATTTTAGTCATTTACATTCTACTTTATACCAACTTTCAATTAAATACTATTATTACTTAATTCTCTCTCGTGCCGACTTTCAATAAGACATTTCTTTTGGGACGGAGGGAGTATTATTTTTTAATCTTCATACCTAAATAAAAATGCATAATTAGCCAGGAGAGACAAAGTATTTAATAAATTGTGTAATATAAATATAAATTTATTTGTTCGAAATCATTTTATTAATTCCAAAAATATATACTCCCTCCGGTCCTTAACAATTTATCCATTTTTTCATTTTGATCCTTTCCTTAACAATATATTCATTTTATTTTTTAGTAATTGTACTATCTACCTAACATTACAAATATCATTCTAATTCGCAATATATTATACAAATGTCATTATCTTTATATCATACAATACTAATAAATGTAGTTTAGTTTTTTTACTTTTATTTCTACTACATCTCAATATAATACTAATATTTCTAAAATTCTATGCAAAAAGTTAATGGATAAATAGATATGAGACGAATAGAGTATATTTGAACTATATATTATTTAATTTAATATTAATTTTTTTTTTCTAAATTTAGTATCATAAAATTTAATTTAATTATTATACAATATATTTAAATATATATGTATTTAAAATACATAATCATATTTTTTCATAATTATATAAATACTTATAAATAACAAAATATATAAAATAGGCCGTGACTATGGCGAGTGCTAGCCTACACACAAATGTTTCCACCGGGGCTAATAGAATAAGTGCTCTCACTGAATTTCTTAATTGGTTCCTCGGTCAGGGATTGACTATAATCGATAACACTCAAGGATATCTGCTACTACACATAATACCTAAGCAACCATCATGCATACTTTGAATGTCAGTGTTTATACCCAGTGTACATACTTACATACTTGCATCAAATACGAACAGACCCGAGTGCATCTCGTCCGTACCTATAATAATGGTGTCATATGCTTCAGTAACGAATATATATGCCCAGGAAACTACTACGTGATAAATCGATAATTTTTGGTATCATACATACCATTGTTAGTGTTAACTGAGGATAAATTTAACATGGTAGTATTCTCATCCATTTCTAGAGATTATTAAATCAAATAGTACATATTTACAAGAATTCAATGAAGAAGTTTTTAGACATTAGAATGTATTAGACTAAATGTTATGATTGATTTTGTTAGTGGTTATCATTCGTCTTATACACACTGTTTCGAAGTGAAGAATTAATATTAATTTGTTTTAACAACTTTATGCAGAGTATAAAATGGAAGATGGATGCTACAAATGACACATAAAGAAAATACGAATAGCGCTACATACTCTATGGTCTTGCAATTGAAAAATGTAGTATGAGTTGTTGAATGTAAATGTATCATGCACAAACTTTTCCAGCAGAACCAATAGAGAAAATGCTCTCACCGAGCCTGTCAATTGCCTTCTCTATCAAGGAATTGACTTAAATTGATTACACTTAAGGATACCTGCTAATACACAGATAATACCTAAATAACTATCATTCATACTTTGAATAACAGTTTTTGTACCTGGAGCACATATTTATATACCTGCATCAAATACCAACATACCATAATGCAAATCTTACATACTTATAATAATAGTGTCATATGCTTCAATAAAGTGTACATATGCCCTTGTAATATGTGTTTGGAAAACTGACAATTATTTATTCAAAATATTCACTTGATGTTGGTAACCAATAATGAATTCATCATGATAATGTTTTCGTGACTCTCTGAATTGTAACAGATATATAAACAATGCATACTAACAATTGTGGGGGAACACCATCATATATATACAATAAATATTCAATCTTTACATATGGATGGTAAACCAAGTCATAAACGAGTTAGTTAAAAATATTTTTCCTTAGTAGGGTACATGATTGTTGTTACGAATACATGTTGCAATCTTAATTCACTTTTTGAAGTAACACAATGTAAAGGTAGTGCTTACTTGAAACGATAAGTTGTAATATACTACTAGAACTTTGAGTAGTTTCTACACAATAGTACAAACACTTTTCATTCAAAATATTTGAAAATTTACATTGTAATCCAAAGTGTATGACACTCACCTTAACAATTGATCATGAGCATTTTAAAAAACAATAACTCGGTAAAGCAGATAAATACTCTAGCGTGGCTTCAATGTACCTCCCATTTGCCTTAGAGTACCAATTCCTGGCCAACGGTGTACCTAGTGTCCAAAAGTGAATACTTGTATGGATTTACTCAATGACTAAAAATGATCTTGATATATTTCAATTAGAGCAAGAGTTTATAATAATCTTTGTACGGGTCTAACGAATGCAATAGTTTAATACTTACTTTGTACCATTTGGATAATTAGTTACCATAAATTTATATCCCAAATTCTTGAGTTTATTTGAACAATATCTTGTATACAAAATTATACAAATCAATTAATAACTAAAAAATTCGAATAAATCCAAAATAATATTAATACCGAACGAAATGAATTTAACACAACAAATTAGGCTAAATCAATTTTGGAATTAAGGAAATGAAAACAAAAACAAACATGTGTTAATTCCAATTAAACAAACAAATTTGAAATAAAAAACAAACGAACAAAACAATTAGAAATTATGCAATTGAATTGGAGTGACTTCGTGTTCGTGTTGCAGAGATTCAATTCGGATGAAATTG